CAATTGGTATACCATCTATTCCAGGGGCCTTATTTTTTGCTATTTCCTTCAAAGCAGCTTGAAATTCTGCCTTCATCACCATAGGCTCTGGCTCAAATGCTATTTCATTAAATTCTTCTGTATCTGCCAATTCCTTTCGGTACAGTGACTCAGTATATTCCTTCCATCTTCTTTTGATACCTTCTGAATCTGGATCATTTAACATTCTGCCTAAAGCATCCTTGATTGTAGCAACTCGAGGTTTGAATTTGCTCATCAGTTCCTTGAGCTTAAGAAATGCTGATCGAGTTTGGCCCTTTTGATTTTCCAACTCTAGCTCCTCGCACATTTCATTGTAGTATTTTGCTTTGTCATTCCGTGCTGCCTTTTGGAATCTTCTGTTCAGCTCTTTAGTGTCTTGGATTCTTCCTTGTGCTTTGGCTTCTCTACGTTCCAGTGCAATCTTCAGAGGAAGTTCTCAATTAATCCCTAGAAATGGAGGGCAGTCTCCCCACAAGAAAGGCTACCTACAGGACTCAAGGATCAAGTATGGAGCAAAGAGCCCCACCACAGTATCATTGAAGTCCAGAAGACAGACAGAGGAGTGGCCCCAGAGGGCTTCCTGGAGGAGAAGAACAAGCTCGGCTGGGTGGCTTGGGCACAGGGACTCACCTGCTCCTGTGCTCCCTTTGGGAGCTTGTGAGGCTTTTGAGGGTAGGGGAAACAAAGGGCATCTCTTTGTTTCCCATCTTAGGTTCTCAGTACATGGGCACCCCTACTTCCTGAGTGAGCAGCCCTGCTCCCCTGACAGCTTCTGCCCTCTCTGGATTGCAGCAGTTAATGTAACAGCACCTCTTACAGCCTCAGTGCAATCACATCTCCCACAGAAGTACTGAAGGCTCTCATTGAGCTATGTAATAAATATACCCCCATATGATGATGCAGAGTGTCCCCCCAGACTAGCCCTGCATGACCTGTAAGTGCACAAGGGTAGGAAACGCCTCACCACCATGCCAGCCCCATGCCCAGCTCTCATGACCACCACAGATGCTGCAGGAGACAGCAGCTGGATGTCACAGCTGGTTCAAGGAGTGGGGTGGGATGTGTGTGAAAGATGGTAGGTATGGAGCAGAGCACTTGAGAGACTGAGAAAATGAAGATCAAGAGAGAGGACAGCCAGGACCAGGCACCACACAGGCGGCCTGGCCAGAAGCTTCCTCCCACTGAGCAGAACCAGAGGAGGGGGTGTGGAGGGGATGCCTGGGTACATGGGCTCGTGCTGAGGAGGCAGGAAACCAGAAAGGCTACGGGCCCACTCCCTTTTCTGCCTTGCCCTGGATCTTGAATCCAAGTGACAGTCTCAGCAGATGGGAAGTGAGAAAATATGGTCACCCAGGCAAGTAGTGCAGCCAAGGAGAGAAGCCTGGGGTCCCCTGGGCCCAAGTGGTGTCTTGTCTGTGCCAGGAAGGGAGCTCCCCATGCTCTGATCTATGCGCAGTGGAGTCTGAGGATGGGGCCAGGCAGCAGCAGGCCAGGCATTTTCTGACTCAGTCCTGTCCATTCCCTCCCCAGGAAAACCACCACTCAGGACTCAAAGAGCCAGGACTCCAAGGCGGTCTCATCTGTGACCCCAGAGCCCACCAGATCCCCCATCTGGGGGGACACAGTGAATGTTGAGCTCCAAGCAGAGAATGCCGGGCATGAAGGTGAGGCTGGGGGCACAGGGGTGGGGTGGGGAGGGGGTCGCGAGGCTGACTGTGTGCCACAGGGGGTGTGAACCACAGAACCACTTAAGACAGCAGCAGGACCCCCAGCACCACTCAGCAGGAAGCCCACCTGACTGCCTCCTCGGGCTCAGTTAAAAGGGTTCTAAAGAAGAAAAAAACAAAATTGTAATCCTGTCATGCCTCATCTCCCTAGCCTGCTCGAAAAACGAGTTGTTCCACATAAATGAATTTTCCAGACAATGAAAGCTTATCTTTTTTTATGACTGTTATTATTTTCATGGTTGTTATTACCTCCCTCTGCCACCGCGATGGCGCATTACAGCTTCCTGGCACATCCACGCACAGCTTTCTCTCAGGGGCACAAACCCCCAGGAGGAGCAGGACAGCTCCATTGCATGGATGAGCAAACTGCGATGCAGGGTAGATATATAAAGACCTTGTTCAAGGTGAAGTCCTCAAGGAGCAGAGGGTTTGGGATCCAGCATTCTATGTTCTGGTTCAGTGTTCTAGTTGCCTCTATTTTATTTTACATTTTTTTAAATGCCCCTAGACTGGACCTTATCCTTCCCTAGTCTTCCCTGGGCCACTGCTTGTCATTAAAAAAAAAGTGGCAAGGAGCTGCAACTACAATCCCAGAGGCGCACGGTTCGAATCCACCAGATGCTCTGCCGAGGAAGGAGGGACAATCTCCTCCTGTACCAGTCAGATCTGATTTGACGGTACACTCACACAAAAATAATAAAATAAAATTTTTTTTTTAAAAAAAAGATGTACCATGGGACTTCCCAAGAGTTAGAACCTGCTCTTATACAAACCAGTTAGTAGCCCTCTCCCCTCTACTCTCAGTTAGATGGACCGGCACAGTGAATGTAACAAGGGCTCAAGCATGGCAGAGGTGGGGAGGATGGTGCAGGACAGGGCTGGGTTCCAATCTGTTATTCAGAGTCACTATGGGTCTACCCCCAGGAAGAGTTTGTACCTTGATAGACAATTTCAATGTTTCAAAGCATAGCATAGAATGAACCCCTGAAGCCCATGTATATGAACACACGTATGCACGCTTGTGTTTTCACAGCAAGGGTCAATTTGCTCTCCACTTGTGGGTGAGAGCTTGAACTCAGCATCCCAGCAGCCAGGCTAGGAGATGCCACGGCTGCTGGGAATGCTGGCTCTACCAACACGCACTGAAGAGGTGCCCAGCGGCAGCGCTAGTCCTGTAGGCCAGAAGTACCTCCATCTCCCTTCTTGCAAATGGTCTTCAGAGAACAGACTTTGCCCCACCTCTTAAACACTGTTTAAAAAAAAAATCTTGCCAAGGCCTTGGACACGCCTCCTCATTCATGTCCCAAAGAGAGAGAAGCTGGAGAGACTGAGAAACAGAAGAGGGAGAAAGAGTCAGGTATCAGTAAAAGGGGAAGAAACCACTTTTAGGTCAAGCTAGAGAACTAGATTTTTTTCAGCTTATCCAGAGATAAGTTTCTGGAGGCATGTTATTTAGGAAGTGGCTGCTACTCCTGGTTCCAAAATGTCGATAGTTGTAGAGGGGTTTCAAGCCTTTTGTTCATAGGGTCACTGTGAGTTATGCTCAACTCAAAGGCAATCAACTACAACACAACAACATTCAGGGCTAGGTAGAGTTGTTGAGATGGTCTGAGAAAACATAAAAAGGGAAGAAAATCTGACCCAGGATCTCATGGAAATGCACGTGTGAGCACGTCTTTGTGAGGATGCCTGTGTGCTGGTTCCCAAGTACGTGTGGACATTGTGTCCGTGTCTATTAGCACGCGTGTATAAATGTGCTCAGGACTATGTTGTAATGTCTGGCTGCAACGTGTGTATTGAGTGTAGGCTTGAATCTGTAGGTGGTGGTGTGTGCCTGGCTGTGCATGAGTCCATATAGCTTGTGTGTTATTTATGTGTATTTATGCATGTGCATTTGTGTGACTGATGAAAAATCGGGAGTTGGACGAGTGGTACTAGGCTGGGATCTTCCCCTGGGCTCCACACACCTGAGATAATAAGAGGAAACCATGTGATGAGGTCAATGGGCTTGGGGCCCATCTGAGCAGGAGGAGGGGGCAGGAGGGGTGGGAGGCTGAGGCCACCTCCTGAGTGAACAGTGAATATTGGCAGGTGCCTTTTTGCAGATTGAAGTAGCTAGATGCTTGTTGGAGCTTGATTGGAACTGGTTGCTGTGGTGATGGCTGTGGTAGGGGGTGGGTGAGGCGGGGCTGGGCCAAGAGGCAAGGGATGGGTGGGTGAAAGCATAAGGATGTGTTAATGAAAAACAAAGGGGAGTTTCAGACACTGTGTTGGGGCCAAAGCAGGCAGGCAGCAGAAATGGCTTGTTGGCTGCACAAACGGAGCAGCGGGAGCTGGAGAGGCGCAAAGCCCAGGGAAGAAGCTGATGAAGCATGTTTGTACTGTGGAGACAAGTCTGGGGTTAGACGGGAGTGGGGGGGTGGGATCAATGAGCATCCCCCAGTTACAGCTGGTCTTCTGGTCAGAGTAGGGATCATGTAGGGTGCTCACCCTTTGTTTAGCCTCTGGGAATCTCAACCTGGTTTGGGAACTCAGGGACCATGGGGAATGGAGCTGCAGCCTCCACAGTTACTGTCATGGTTTTGAATGGGAGCAGATCTTCAGTACATGAAGGACTACAGAAAATTAGCAAGAAAAAATAATAACAGCCTCAAGGAATAAGTGAATAAAATGTTTTAGTTGGACAATTATACTCTTACTCTTGGGGAGCTCTGGTGGTCTAGTGGTAAGAAGCTGTGCTGCAATTCCAAGGGCACATGATTCGGATCCACCAGATGCTCTGTGAGAGAAGGCTGGGCAATTTCCTCCCTCTCCTCCTCCTCCAGATTTACTGCCTCTGAGAACCTGCTGGAGGGTCAACTATGAGTTGATTGCAACAACAACAACATGCCTTTAATCCCAGCTGTCATAGAGTTGATTCTGACTCAGAGTGACCCTGTAGGGTGTAGAAGAACAGTCCATAGGATCTCTAAGGCTTTATAGAAGCAGACTGCCTCATCTTCTCCCCAGAGCAGATGGTGGGTTCGAACTGCCAATCTTTTGGATCATTACTCTTTAGTACTTGGGCAAGGTCCCTGACAACAGACTTTCCCAGTACAATATGTCTTGATTTCTTGACTGCTGTTAGCAATGATGTTGATTGTGGATCCAAGAAAGATTAAATCGTTGACAGCTTTAGTCTTCTCCATTTATCATGATAGTGCCTATTGGTTCAGTGGTGAGGATCTTTGTTTTTTTGATGTTGAGATGTAATCCATACTGCAGGCTGTGTATTCTTTGATCTTCTGTAATAAAAATTCAAGCTCTCCTTACTTTTAGTAAGCAAGGTTGTGTCATCTGTATAACAAAGGTCATTGATGAGCGTTCCTACTATCCTGATGCCATTTTCTTCTTCATAAAGACCTGCTTCTTGGATGATTTGTTCAGCATACAGCTTGAACAGGTGTGGAGAAAAGATACAGCCTGATGCATACCCTTCTTGATTTTTAAACCATGCAATCAGCCTAAAGGCTAAACTGTGCCTGATTTAAGCCATGCTTTTTTTAATCACCTGCTACATGTCTGGGCTGGACAATGAATAAGGATTATAGAAGAAGGATTGATGCCTTTGAGTTGTGGAGTTGGAGAAGAGTGCCCCATGGACTAACCAAAGAACAAACACTTATGTCTGAGAGAAAAATGCAGCCAGAATGCACCTTACAGACAAGGATGATGAAGCTTTGTCTCATTTACTTTGTGTATGTTAGGAGGGGACTATTTCTTGTTAAGGGACATCATGCTTGGAAAGGAGGAGGGCAGTGAAAGATTATATGAGAGGAGAGATGAGAACCCTCAATGAGACAGCTTGACACAGGGGCTTCAGTAATGAGATCAGAGATGGTGAGTGTGGCACAGGATCAGACAGGGTTTGGTTCTGCTCTTCATAGGGTCACTGTGAGTTGTACTTGACTTAATGGTACTTAACAGCAACAACAACAGTATCTATTGTATAGTAGCCAAATACTTTACACACAATGTTGCTAGGGCTCCCTTACATTCTCATACCTACCACATCCTAGGAAAAAGATAGCATTTTTCTTTTTAAAGGTACTAACATTTTATGAATAGGAACATAAAATTCAGATTAAGTGGTTTGCTAAACATCACAAAGCAAGTTGGTATGGCCAGCTCCTTGGCAAATATTTTCCACTCTCTGTGCCTCCAGAGTAGCTGGAAGAAGTAGGGGAAAGGAAGAGTATTTAGAAGGACCTATGAGTCCAATATGATGGCCCCCATCCACACCATATGTCCTCTAAATAGCAACCCCTATAGAGACATGTTCACAGTGGTGTCTCCTAAATGTGTACCTGCTTTGTTTCTTTTGCTTTTCCTGGCTTTCCATTTTACCCCTAAACCTTTAATCCACTTAAAGCTTTCATGTGTAATGTATGACATTAATTCCATTTCCATTTTCTGTAGGTAGATGTCCAATTTTGCTGTTGCTTCCCCATCTGATGAGTTTTGTTTCCTTATTGAAAATCAATTGACCACAGATAAATGGAATAATTTCTCAGTTTTCAACTCTAGTCTATTGGTCTATGTGCCTATCACCTTACCATTACCATAATGTTTCAGTTGCTACAGATGTGTAGTAGATCTTGAGAATCATGGAATGTAATGCCTTATACTTCATTCTTGGAGGCCTTTATTTCCTTGAAGAATGAGCTTGGTAGCTGTACTGGGATTGCATTGATCATGTACATTGCTTTTTGTAGAATTACTTATCACAATGTTGAGTTTTCCCATCCATGGCAGGAAATTTTGCTTTCATTTAATTTGGTTTCTCAACCCAAAGGCATTGAATCTGACAGCACCTCCGTAGGAGAAAGATGGGAAATTAACTCTTGTGTGATTTACTGCCCACTGGAAGGTCAGCTGTGAGCTGGTCCTGATTTGAAAGTACACAACACAACACACAGCTTCCTTCTGCCTTGTTCAGGTCCAAGTGACCTACCCCATGTCCAAATGACCATCTAGCTCCAAGTAACCCAGAACTGAGAGGGTTTCAGGATGGCATGTACAGTAGCCTTTGCAGCTGTCCATGGTGCTGAAATGATCTCAGCCCAAAGAACTGGCAAAGGCCATTTCTTTCTCAATCCTTTTCTTTCCCTTCTCTCATTTCTCCTCCACCATCCCCTTATACCTCCCATCTCTCCTTCCTCAAATCATAGACTGAGAGTGTGGAAAGAAACTTCAGAGGTCACCAAATTCAGCCTCTTCCAACAACCATTTACTTGCTGCATGAGTTCCAGTGAACACACTTTAAAAATAGACATATTGATACATACTGAAAGGGTTGTGGCAGAGATTTATTGAAATAATGAGTCATTGGGAGGATGCCCTCCCTATTCCTTGCACAGTGGGTGCTCACTAAATGATACCACTATGTCTCTCTCCTAGTCTTTAGGATGTTCATCCAAAAGTGTAAGTCTTTTAAATGACAAAATAAGTTCTATTTGGAATGAACCTACTAAGAAGTGCATTATTCTTCATGGTTAGAGTGTTATATTACTGTTATGTGCCATCAAGTAGCTAACCTTCAGAGATGACCCTCCAGCAGGTTTTCAGAGTCAGTAAATTGCATGAGGGGAGCTTGCTCATCTTTCTCCTGTACAGAAACTCATGGATTTGAACTATATGCCTTTGAGTTGGCAGTGCGACTCCTTATGACTAAGCCACCAGAGCTCCCTACTGGAGTCTGTTTTTGTGTTTTTAACTGAAGGATTTGTTTGGGCAGATCACTTTTTCTTATTGAGCCTGAAGTTCCCTTTATGCAACATGTTGGTGATAATTCTTCTCTCTCTATGTGATGAATGAGTCAGGGTGCATGTGACCAAGAGAAGGAGTCATATTACTTGGAGGTGGTATTCTTCCTGCTTGCATGTTAATGTGTGTGTGTGTGTGTGTGTCTGTGTGTGTGTGTGTGTGTGTGTGTAAATGTGTGTTTATTGTCACGAGTGGCTGAGATTAGCTCTCTGTGTGTGTTTATCTCTGGCTGGGGTGTTTCTGGTCCATAGAAAAGAATTAAATCTTTGAGTTCTAATCGTATTTAGTATGTGGCCTTGCCCTATTCACAGGACCAGATAGGGCTTATGGGATTGTGTCTGTGCACATTTCTACATGAGCTTGTGTCTTCCACATGTGTGCGTGCAGGTTGCTTCCTCAGTGTTTCCACTGTGTCTCCACTTTTAGTAGTGTCTATTATCTCTCACTATCTCAGTTCTTTGTGCTGACTTGTGTCTACTTCTCTCTCCAGATGTGGTGCTCAGGGTGATGGACAGCAAAAAGAAAGAGGAGCTGCTGTCCTATCAAATCCCCATCAAGTATTTACGTGTCTTCCACCCCTATCACTTTGAATTGGTGAAGGTGAGTGAGAGCTCTGAGCTGAGCTTGGGGATCAAGTGGGCCTTGGAGTTAGGTAGGCACAGGATGTATGGAAACCACTTTGATACCCCAGTTCTTCCTAAGAGTACCTCTAAACAACCCATAACCACTCCTAAGAGAGTTTCAGAAAAGACAACTAAAAAAAAAAGACTCTCAAAGAATAAACAGAATATTTTCCACAAAAATTTGGAGTTCTCTAGATTTGTCTTTGCAAAACAGCCCATAGAACAACTACCACTTTATATGAATGTACCAATTAGAATGTATTCTATGGGACTGTAAAATGATACAACCACTCTGGAAGGCAGTTTGGTGTGTCCTCAAAAAGCTGAACATAAAAATTCCAAATGACCTAGCTATACCACTGCTAGGAATATACTTCAAGGAAAACAGCACTGAGATATAAATGAGATTTGTACACCAATGTTCATAGCAGCATTATTCACAATCACAAAAACATGGAAACAGTCCAAAATATCCATCAACAAATGACTGGATTGAGAAATCATGGTACATTCGTACAATGGAATGCTATCCAGCACTCAGGAGCAATGATTTTGAAAAATACTATATAACATGGGAGAGGCTAGAGAGCATTATACTGAATGAACTAATTCAGGCACATAAGGACAAATATTGTATAGAACCATTATTGTAAAAACAGAAGGATAACCAGTGAGAAACGTATAGACATACAAAGAGAGAAGGGGTGGTGGCAGAGGGCAGAGGCCTGAGGTTGGTTGGAGAGGGAGGAATATCATAGGATTGAAGAGTTTGATGGGTGGAGGGAGGGAGTGGAAAAAAATGTACATGAATGAAACATAATGGGGGCGAGGTATTCTGATTTCCCGTATGCTAAAAGAGGAGATGTATCTAAAAATTAAAGAAACAAAGTATTTACAGTGCACCCACTGTGTTCTAGGGCCTGTGCTAGACACTCAGTTCATCACCCTAATCTTCAAGGTGAATTGAGTTTGCATACAGGAACCTACAGTTTAGGGAAAAGAATCCTTCACCCACAACCGTGAAACTAGTGAGTAGCAGATGAACCCAGGTCACACTCTCTTCCAAATCAGCCCTTTCTGTGCTCTCTCATGATGCCAAGGCAGGAGAAAGGTCCAGAAAAGTTGAGGTTTATGAGAGAGAAATCATTCCTTGGAATGCACCCCCTTAATGAGAAACTGAGAGTGAGGATAAAGTGGGGAGACCTTTAGGCCCCTCAGTCTATGTCTTGAACCTCCTAGACTAGCTCTGCTTTCTGGCTTCTCTCCATTGTACTAATTAGTAAAAGAGAGCAACCATTCTCCCATTGCTTAAGTATTCATTAAGCGCTTCCTGTTTATCAAGCACTGGGTCCTACATGAGTACAAACCCAACTTTCCCTTCCCCGCCTGTGTGCACTCCAGGCTCCTGTAGGAATACAGAGAGAAGAGCAATCTGCAATCAGATTGTCTGGGCTCACAACCCTTACTAGCTGAAAGGCCACAAGGCCAGCTTCCACTAAGTCACTTCTGACTCATGGAACAGAATAAAAAATAAATAAATAAATTAAAAAGACTTTTATTTTCTGATTTCCCACATGCCAGTGGCTGGATTTTTGCAAATAGATCACCAGGCCTTTCTTCTTAGATACACCTGAGTGGACTTGAGCCTCCAAACTTCCTGTCCGCAGCCGAGGACACCAACATTTGCACAGCCCTAGGACTCCAGATATCCACAGGGATCTTAATGCCCTCTTCCCCTAGGCATACTCTATTAGCAAAATGGAGACAATACGCTGTTTAGGAAGCTCATTTGCAGGATGGGAGGCAACATTCAGCTTAAAGCACTGAGCCCGAGTTCCTGGCAGTAGCAGGAGCTCAGTTTAGGTTTGTTCCTCTTTTCCCTGCTCTACCTCAGGCCCCACCATGCACCTTTCTTTTCACCTAGATGGATCTAAGGTGTGGCAGGTATGGCACGTGGCCTGGGCACACCTGAGTAGTTTCTATTAACTATCCATTTCCATCCTCAGCTGTAAAATATTCCTTAGCAAGTAAAAACCCATACTTTCATGTTGGAAAGCCTCCATGGGTCAGGGGGGACGGTGATCTTACTCAGCTGATTGGAGAAAAGAGAAGAAATGGGGAGGAGAGGGGATGACTTTGAGGACACCACACACAAATTTTCATCAGTGACAGGGAGGGATTATACTACATGTAATTTTTATGTAGTGCTATAACTTGTTAAGTGAAAGATTAATGATGCTTGACTTGTGTCTTTGAGCTGATATTATAATAAAGTCATCTGAAAGGTGGGTATGAGATGTTTGGATCAGGATGTAATTTCAGTGCTTGCCAAAGGGACTATTTTCCATAATAGTGCCTGTAACTCTTATTTCATTTGGTCCAGACACCTTTGGGCCTTCCTTAGGCTCAAAGGAAAGCCCCAGGTCTGGTGAGTCCAAAGTGGTTCAAAAATAGGGCCTCAGGCAGACAGGAAAGTAGAGATCCAGAGAGATTAGTGAGCTTCCCCAGGAGGCATAGCCTCTGAACATCACTCTGGTCTCCTGTCTCTCAGTCCACTCGCACCCCAGGCCCTGTTATCACACCTATACAAAGATAGCGGGCAGGCCGGCAGTGGCCCTTGTGAGGGTGATGAAATATTCAAATGGAAAAGGGAAGATTTATTATATTGATCTCCTTGGAAGGGCTCACAGGGACCATGAGCTTTAATTATCAGCTTGGAGCCCCAGTGGAGCAATGCCAAATGATTGTCTGCAGAGGGCTGGATTTATGGCCAGGGTCAGCTCCCTCCACGCTCACTTCCCTCTATGTCTTCTTCCCCCATCTTGGTCCCAGCCCATCCAGTCTGGGAAATCTGGTGAAGACACATCCAAGACCAAACTGTTTGCGACAGTCGTCCGGAAAGGCAGCTTCATTCCCCACTACATTGGCCACAACCACACAGCTCTGGAGGTACTGAGACTGGGAGCCCTGGGAGGCAGGAGGGGCAGAAGAGGGCCAAGCTCCAAGAAAACCCCATCCCCTGCCTGAGTGTGTGAAAATAGAGTGTCTGGGACGAAACCAATGAGCAGCTAGAGCTTTTTTTTTTAAAAAAAAACAAATAAACTTAGTTTGCAGACAAGCAAACTGAGAGGGCAGAAGTACCAGTAAGGATGATGTTTTCCAGAACTATCCAGGCTCAGTCTTACCCTAACCTCTCCTTTCCTTGCTGACCTTGGAAATAAGAGGAAAGGAGCTTCAACATTGTACTTGCTGCATATCCTCACTTGAATTCCATGCTTCAGGCAAAGTGGGAGACTTCTACAGTCCACAGTCCCCCAAACTCTCACCAGGTGTGGGGGAGAAGACCTGATCTCCCTGCTCAGACCACAGTGTTGCTGATTTTCGATCCCCTCTGCTCCCTCCTGGGGTTGTGACCCCCGACCTAGGACCTAGGTTCCTCAAGCAAACATGTTAGGATATTCCCCATCTTGAATTCTGGGTGTTTTTTAAAAAATTATTATTATTAATTTTAATGAAAATTTACAGAGACTTTGGATTTCCATTCATTCATTCATTGTTTCACTTTTCTTCCTGCCCACCCCTCCCCTCCAGTTCACTCTTCTCTTTGAAAAGTAAAAGAAAAATTCTTTCATTGTTATACAATCCCTCTCCCTAAGTCTACTCCACTATGCAGACTTCTTTCTGGACTCCTGTCGTAACAATAATACTTAATCATATATCCCTTTTAAATAGTACTCTTCCTCATCTGTTTCAGTGCAGTATACATAATTTATCCCATCTTTCTCAGTCTCCCCCCAACCCTGACTTCAGTCCCCTTTTTACAACAGTGGTACTATGCGGTATTTGTCCTTCTGTGACTTAGATATTTCACTTAGCATTATGTCCTCCAGGGTCACCCTTTTTGTGTAATATTTCACGAGTTCCTTGTTTTTCAATGCTGCATAGTATTCCATTGTGTGAAGATACCATAGCTTCTCTATCCATTAGTTTGTTGATGGGCACTTAGGTTGTTTCCAACTCTTTGCTATTGTGAACAAAGCCGTGATACACCCATGTACTATGTGCATATATTTGCTGGGGTGGTAGTTATGGTTTCTTTAGGGTATATTCCCAGTAGTAGAATTACTGGATCAAATGGTATTTCTATTTGCAACTTTTTGAGAAAGCTCCATACTGCCTTCCATAGTGGTTGCACCATTTTACACTCCCACCAACAGTGAATAAGGGTTCCAGTTTCTCCACATGTTGTTTGCTGTTCTGTTAAATTTTGCTATTCTTACTGGGTTGAGACGTTATCTCATAGTTGTTTTGATTTGCATCTCTCAGAGCTAGGGATTTTGAACATTTCTTCATGTGCTTGTTTGCCATTTGAATGTCTTTGGTGAAGTGTCTGTTTATATCCTGTGCCTATTTTTCAATTTGGTTGTTTACCTTTATCTTGTTGTGGTGTTGAATCCTGTTTCTAAAAAGATCCGACTGGTCTGCTGATTTGCCATTTATTTGTTCAAGAGCTATTAACATACTACTTCAGCCTAACTTCTAAATACTGCTCACTTTTCTTCACTGCTGGGCCTTCTGGCAGCCTCAAAAGGGACTGGCAATGTTAAAGACAAACATGGTCCAGAGACCTGGCCTTTGCCCTCTCCCCTCAGCCTTCAGACTTCCCAGCACTATAATCAGGGTAGGAACCAGTGAAGTCCAAGTTCTGGGCTTCCCCTGTCCCCCTAGGTCTGGCCTTGTCCTCCCAGGGCCCCGTGACCTTGGCAGAAAAAGAACTATTCTTTAGCCTCATGCCACAGCCAGGGATAGAGAGACCCAAAGAGACCGACATGTTCTTCCCTTAGATACTAGCAAGTATCAGACCTTGGGCACTGACCCTTCCTATCACTTCCCTCTCATCTATCCATCGTTTCCTGAAGACAGCTAGCAGCTCACAGTGATAGGAAGAGAGGCAGCATTTTTCCTTTCTTGCTGCCACAGGAGAGACCAAAGACCCCTAACCTGACAGAACCTTAGATTTTCAAGGGCAGCTGTGGCTTGCCCCACCCTCACCCAAGCTCCCTGACTTGCTTAGCAGAGATGTGAGTCACAGATTCAAAAATCCTGTCCTCCCTGGACCCCCACACTCCACCCACTCCCCAATCCAGAACTGTGCCCAGCACAGATGCCTCCCTGCTTGTGTCAGAAAGCAAAGCATGTGAGCAGATGTCTGCTTCTAATGGCAGGCAGGGCAGCACAGCAGGAGATAAAATTGCATTTTCTTTTACTCACCAGGCCCTCCCATGAGCAGGTATATTACTAGGGTAGCTTTCTCATTCACACCTGACCCTTATGAACTCAGAAAGGTATAAATTAGGACCCCTGCACCACCACACCTCTCAAAACTCCTCCCAGCCCTTACACCTATTTGAGTCCCTATAGATCTTGATAGATCTCCAGTAAATTCCTCAGGCCCAGACACATTCAAAGTTTAAAATTCTACCATTGGAGATTCATTCCTTTGCACATTCCTTTGAAGAGACTTCCATCTCCAGAGACCCTAGTTGCCTTCAGTTGCAAAAACAGTTGCAAACCTCCCCCCAAACCAACCAACCAACTGCTGTCAAAATGACTACAAATCATGGTGACCCTGCATGTGTCGGAGTAGAGCTGTGTATACAACCAGCTTTTCAGAATTAAATCACCACACTTTTCTTCTGTCACACCTTTGGATGACTTTGAACCTCCAACCTTTCAGTTTGCAACAAAGTAAGTTACCCAAATTAACCTCTTATGCCACGCAGGGACTCTTTTAAACCCTTTTGTTAGTTCCAATCTGTGTGGGATTAGCTGGCAACCAAGACAGGCTAAGAAGAAGGAGGAAAGAGGGGAGGTTTTCAGAACACTCTCTACTCTTGGGTCTTCTCCTCTCACGAAGGTCAGGACTAGAAGGATTGGGAAGGTTTTAGTCCTACCTCTGAGTGTCCGTGCTGGGGAAATGGAAGCCCAGTGCGGAGCAGGGACTGGCCACAGTTATACACCGGCCAAGTGTGAGGGTGTGAGGTAGTGGCTAACTCAGAAGAAACCTAGCAGGCCTCTTCAAGTCACAGGTGTGGCCTCTCAGCCTTTTCCAGGTCTGCTTTTCTCTGCCTCCATCAGCACCATGGAATCAAGGTTCCTGCCCGTCCTCCAAGACCTCAGACTCTCCCTGAAGCCACTGCCTGTCTCCTCCCACTCTGTGTCTCTACGTGTCTCTCTCACACACACTCATGAACACACAGTCTCCCCTTCTCTCTCATTAATATTACACTCCTCCATCTCACAAACATATTGAATGCCTTTTATGCATGTGCCCAGCCCTTTAGTAAATCAGATAGACGTGGGCTCACTCATGTGGGGGCTTGGGTTCTAGGTAAAATGGCAGGAAAGAAACAATAAATAAATAGTAACAAATAGTAGTGATAGCACTATGGTAGAAACCGGGGTAAAAGAGAAAGAATTGGGGAGCAGCATCTTAGCAAGGGAAGCATTTCCGCTAAAGGATGAGATGAAGCCAGCCGTGATGGAAGGAGGGGTCCAGGCAGAAGGATTTCTACACCTGAGACAGAAATGAGCTGGGCATGCTGCAAATGTGGGAGAAAAGGAGGCTGGAACACAAAGAGGAGGGCTGGAGAGCCGGAAGAAGTGGGGGTCAGGAGTCAGAGGTCAGGAGCTCTGGGGATGACTGGAGATGGACAGGGTTGGAAATCATGTCTTCTCTCCCTGCCTTCCCAGTGGCTAGCTGAGGCCATAGAGCAGGTGGTCAGTGAGTATCAGAACAAAGTTTTTGCCCCCTACTCCATGGGAAAGCTGCTCACTTATGGTCTGTTCTTCCCCTGACTGTCCCTGCTGTTCTCTGAGAACTGTGCCAATAAGAGTCCTGGGAGAAGGCATGGAGGGCAGAGGTGCAGAGAGGTCCTTAGGAAAGAACTAAGGATTGAAAGGTGGTTATGATGTGAGAGCAATGATGACCGGAATATGAAGATGCAAGAAAAGCCCATTGCAATTCCATCCCAAGCCGCCAGCATTCACTGGGAATGCCCTTCTCTAAAGTCAGCACCAGAGGGTCCAAGAGGACCTCAGCCATGATCAGGGGCCTCAGGAAGCTCAGCGTGATTGGGAAAACCAGACCTGGGAATGCCACTCATGGACATGGATGTGTTTTCATAAGTGATCTAGTCAGGTGCCTCACAAACCCAGGCAGGCCCTCTTTAACTGACAGAAACGGAGTAGTCAGGACCACTCCCACCCAGCCAGGATGAGAAGGACCACTGCCACCCAGCCAGGATGAGAACACAGCTCTCTTGATCGCCTGCCCAGGCCTTCTCTCTTATCCCCACCCTCTATCTAAAACAAGTTGATATAAGAGCCACTGCTGGGTCCAGGGTGGAAAACCCAAGGGTTCGGCCCTAGACAAATAGAGAAGGGTTCCTGGCAGAGTGTAGTTTGGAGCAAAGACCATCAAGTAGAGCAAGGAGGAGAGAAGAGCAGGAGCAGAGGTGGGGTCGGGCCATTGTCGGGGACACAGGTGGTAGCAGGCTGGCTCTGTCACTGGGGTCACCTGCCTGTTCTCTTCCCAGGTCTTTCTCCGGGGAGTCAATGAGCCCCTGGTCAACAACAGCAGCCCCATAGTGGTGATTGCCCGAGTGGTTCCCAACTACAATGAGTTTAAGTGAGTGGGGCCCAGGTGGGCATGCTTGGGCTTGGGGGAAGAAGGGCAGAGGACAGAAAAGGGGGAGGTTGTAGTTGTCCCTGCAGGCTGCAGTTCCAGGAGCCCTGGAAATTGTCCCTCTCCCCAAAGGCTACTGAGTCTGAGGTCCTTAAGTAAGCTTCTCAAAGCGGACCACACTTTCTTTTTATAGGATGCAGCTCAGACCTCTCCTGAATGAACACTAGGGCTGGGGAATGGGGCCTTGAGTGTGTGCAGCCTGAGGAGCTGTAAGGATGCAGGAGAGGGAGAGGGATCCTCAAACTCTGACCCGTGGGGCACCTCAGCCCTCCCAAGCCTGGCTCCCCATTTCATACCCACCAAATCTACAGTCCCTTCCCACCCAGGTCAGCACCATGGGCTCCAGACCGTGTCTTTCCACAAAGGAAGAGGAGGCCTAAGGGTCATCTCGGAACTTACCCCATAGTCCTGCCTGGGATAAGCCCTTCCCTCACTCTACTAGGGACCCTGGTTCCAGCTCTCACTTGTCCCAGTCCTCTCCAGACCCCAGGTTTATTGAGTTCAGAATTCTAAGAAAGATTTGGGCTAGCTTTGTCACTGAAGGCCATGTGGGGATGGGTAGAGCTCCCCAATAAACATGTACTCCCCTGATGGGCCCATCTCCTAAGGGACAAGCATCTGCTTCTGTCACTTCCAGTGATGCTGATGACCCCCTGACCTTCCTGTAGTGCTGTGTCAGTCCTACAACCTGTGAGCCTTTCTTTCATGTGGGAGGAATGAAGACGAGCTCAGTGTACACACACATACACAATCCCGCCCTTGCAGGCTCTCCATGCCACAGAAGCTTAAATCAGGATTCCCACTATGGGGGCAGTTTGTTCCAAAAGGTCTTCTGATGTGGAGGCTAGGAGTGCAGGACCTCTTATAAATACAAGGCAGCAGAGACATTAAGATGTGGCTAAGAAAAGTCTCAGTACATCATACGTAAAGTCCGTTTCCTGACCAAGCTGTTTCCCATGGCCTTCAGCCAGAGTTGGCCCAGGCCTGTACTGGATTCTCCTCTCTTCACCAATTTCATGGGTCTAGAATAGTAGTCCAAGGCTACAGGTTTGGGCATGAGTCAGGAATGCTGTGTACTGTAAGCAGTCCTTCGCTAGCCCCTGTTTCCTTGCCTGTCCAGGTCCAGCTGGATAAACAAAGACCCAGAATCCCTGGGCCTGCCTATCACCCAACTCTCCTTCCCGATTTCATCAGTGATGAGCTTTGATGTTCCTCGGGTCAGCAAGAACGGATGCCCTCAGGTACGGCCCTTTCCCTCGGTCACCATCTCACAGGTTCAGCTACTCATGCTCTCATTCCCTTGCTCACTCTGCAGTTCATATAGCTGATTCCTGCTGCATACGCCAGATCATGCTTGTGTGTGCTATCCAGACTTTGCTGTGAGAACTCTGGGTCTGGGTGATATTACATACATGAAAAAGTTAAACGTCAACACAGGACAATGGAAAAGTGAAAAACAATCCAGAAGGGACTGTCAGAGCTGCAAAAACCAGAGGAAGTGCAAGAGGGTGATTAGGAAAGGTTCTTGAATACAGGCAGGGGAAGGATAGGGCAAAATGAGATAGCAAGAGCAAAGGTGTGAAGGTAGGAAATACACATGCAGATCCCCTTATCACTGGAGAAGAGGGTGTTGTTTAGGGGAGGAGGGGAAGGTCATGGCTGGGTCCTGGAGTGTGGCCAGAGCTACCTCTTTCCATACAGACTGCACTTTGGAAGGAATTTGTCCTGTACAATAGTCCCAACATTCCCAGGATCTTAAAGAAGACTGGAATTCTCAGAAGTCCTTCTTATTATCTGTCCAAAAAAAGAATGAACTACCCCTCTGGAGCCTCAGCCTTCATTTAAAACCAAAGTCGTCTGAAGAAGGCTCAGACACGGGCAAGAGTGATGGCAGTGGGGAGGGATGGGAAGCAGGGGGACCCTGGGGACAAAGGCTTCAAACCCAAACCAATCCTCAGCCTGATTTCCCCAGAGCCATCTCACACATGGCCCTGCATTTGCCCAGAAAATTATGAACCAATCAGCAGGCAGTCCCGGGGGATGGGGTGGGAGAGGAGGCACAGCCTGCTTTAATGAGCAAGCCCCAGCCCCACCCTGAGGTCCTTTCTGGCTGTCTTCTTGGCTGCCTAACAGGAGTCAGCATAGGAGAAGTGCCAATGCTTTTTGCATATGTGGGGCACAAGGCCAGAGGTCCCACAATGGTAGGACACTTGTTGAAGGTTACCCAGCACCAGAGCAGATGGGTCAGGTTAATACCTCACTGGCAGCTGGCATGGAGGTTCCCAAGTGTCAGTGCCCTTGACCACTAACTTGAAGGGTGGCAGTTTGAACCCACCCAGCAGCGCTGCAAGAGAGAAAGCTGGCAATCAGCTTCTGCAAAGTTTGTAGCCAAGAAAACTGTATAGAGCAGCTCTCTGTGATACATGGAGTCACCATGATTGGGAACAACTTGATGGAGACAGCTTTTTGGTTTCTTGCCCTCTCTTAACAACTGGAATGCAGAGCTATCTCACTAGCCACTGGCCCCAACATGCTAAAGCACTGTGGGTGGGGAGTTTGGGAGACCTGGGTTTGATCTATCAAAGAAAAACAATCCAATTTTGATAGGGAAGTGCTTTATTTAGAAAGAACAAGTGTTGCAACAGAAAACTCTTCTACACTCAGAAAACTGCAAGTATCTCAAAATGGGACAGAAAAGGAATTTTCTTTTTACAGGGAAGGAAAGGCATGCAGAGATAAGCAGAATCCCTGGGGAGAAAGCTGTACAGGCGAGGGGAAACAGTCACCGGGTCTGACACTGAAAGTATCTCGTTGTGGTCAGCTGAGTTCCAGAAGAAACTGATAATGGGAGGAAAGTACAATCCAGCGTGTTATTTTTAGTACTTTCTTGGGTTTGGGAGTAAACTGAGTTCAGAGGCCTGTAGGAAGGAGATATAAAACCAAACCAAACCACAACAAAAAATCCCACTGCTGTTGAGTCAATTCTGATGTAGAATAACGCTGCAGGACAGAGTAAAACCAGCTAGGGATTTCAAGGCTATAATCTTCATGGAACCAGGTTGCCAAATCTTTCTTTTTTAAAAATAAATTTATTTATTATTAAATTTTTTATTAATGATTTTTAATGCAATATATATATATTTTTTTTACAGCACATGCTTTCCATTTAATTTCCCCCATTCATTCATTGTTGCACATTTTCCTCCCTGCCCACCCCTCCCCCCATTCATTTTTCTCTTTAAAGGAAAAAAAATTCTTTCATTGTTATACAATCCCCCAAGTCCTCTTTAATATGCATTTCTTTTTCTGTAATCTTATCATGAAAATAATGCCTAATCCTATATTCCTTTTAAACAGTTCTCTCCTTCATCTGTTTCAATGCAGTACATATTATTTATCCCATATCTTCTTAGGTTCCCCCCCAACTCTGATGTCAGTCTCATTTTATAGCAATGGCACTATGCAGTATTTGTCCTTTTGTGACTGAGATATTTCACTCATCATGTGCCAAATCTTTCTACTGCAGAGTGGTGAGTAGGTTCGAACCACCTACCTTTTGGGTAGCAGCCAAGTGCTTTAGCTACTGTACCACCATGGCTCTTCTAAAAAAAAAATTAAAGTCTGAGTAAAGTATGGTAAAGTCAAAGAGAGGGTAAGGCATAGGCAGTGGAGAGCGTTTGTTTAGCTGCCACTGTGTTTTGTACAAGCTGTGTGACCTTTGGCAAACTGCTCTCCAGACATGCTGATTTCTGTCTCATCAAGCTGCTGTTTACTGCTGTCAAGTGGCCCTCAGCTCATGGTAACCCTGCCCCTGTGCCAGCCTCCTGGTTGGGGCCTGGGTGATCCATGAGGCCTTCATTGGCTGACTTTGGAAGTGGCTCACCAGGTCTTTCTTCTTAGCCCACTTTAATCTGCAAGTTCCACTGAAACCTGTTAGCAACACCAGCCTCCAATGGTTCCATATGAGATATACTGGCCAGGTATAGAACACAGGTCTCTAGCAAGGAAAGTTAGAATTCTACCACTGGCCCCCTTTGAAATGTTGAAAAACCAAACACTTACCAAACACAGGACCTTTAGATTCTGGCTCATGATGATCCTCCATCAGATTTCCAAGGGACCATACTGCTCATCTCTCTCCTCCTGTGCTGCTAGTGAATTTGAACCGCTGACCTTTTGGTTAACAGCTCAGAACTTAACCCACCAGGCACACCACTAGGGCTACCTATTTTGGCTGTTAGAAGACATGTAGGGAAACTGTGTGCAAAGCCCAGGATAGACATTGAGAAAGCTTTCACACTTTGTAAATGTGCCTACTCTAGTGTCAAGGGCTCCCTCTGGAGCCCACCACACCGCTTCTCATGTAACCCTTGGTTATAAGTAACAGAAGCCTCAATTCATCCAGCTTAAATACTAAGATATTTATTGTCATACACAAGAAGTCCTGAGAGAGGGCTTCACCAGAATTGGTTGGTTTAATGGGTTGGAAGCGTCCTCTAGACATCGGATCTTGCCAGTATACAGAATTGCCATCCTCAGCTCGCCACAGCTTGTGGGGACAAAACAGAAGGTTGTGCTGAAACACTGCCACCCAGACGAGACCGAAGTCCCCTCACCCCCCTGACTCTCAGTATTACTTTGAGTTGAAACCAACTATAAGCTGACCATCCAGCAGGGTTTGGGAGGCTATAAATCCATGAGAGGAGGTGGTGCATCTTTCTCTTACGGTTATGGTGCCGCTAATGTATTCAAACCACAGAGAGGTGCCACCTTTGAGTTTGTTTTAGCAAATTCCTTACAGACTAGGCCAGCATATTGTTACTATGTGCCCTCAAGTCAGCTCACCCTCCAGCGAGTTTTCAGAGTTAGTAAATAGCACAGAGCAGCTAGTGGATTTGAACGCTTAGCCTATGGAGAAAGGGAGGTGTGTAGAGGGAAGGATTGTGAATCCTCCTCCCCCTGAAAGTGGTTTTTGAGAAAGCAGAACCCTCTCCAGCAACCCCTTAGAAGACACTCTCTTTCATCCCATTGGCCAGAATCAGTCACATGCACTTGCTTGAGCCAATCACTGGGAGAAGCGTGGCTGTACCTTGCTCATCACTATTTTATAACTGAGGGAGCGTCAGGGCTTAATCAGTCCTGCTGTCCTTGATGATGAGGGTGGAATGGCTGTGGACTAGGCGGTCTTCAGTGTGTGCTTCACTCCTCTTGGAGCCTGGTGAAGACCATTGCACTTGGAGCTCTGCTGAGTAGGATAAATTGCCAAAGGTCCTGTTTGACCTGGGGCAGCCTGCTTATCACAGAATTTGTCCTGGTTAGGAGTCAGTCCTCAACATTCCACATCTTTGATGAAAGCTGACGGATTGTTCCTATTGACCCAGCTTTCTGCAGAGCGGGGCCCAAGACACTCCATCAAAGTGCAACAATGTCTGTGCCTACTTCAACTCTTTCTATCTGAACTCCTGCATCCAGGGGTCCTCCACTCCACAGGACTCTTTTCAGTCCTTCCAGATCCTGCCTTAGCGCTGGCCTCATCGTCTCTTACCTGGACCTAGCAACACCTTGGCTGACCTCTACTCAGCCTCCACTTAGTCCTTTCCACCCATCCTCTGAGCAGCAGGCAGATGACCTTGCCCCATTCACCCACAGAAAGAACAATGCCTTCACCCTCAGCCAATGCCTAAGCCCTGTCTCCTCCAGCCTCCTGAATTCACTCAGGATTCACACAGGTGCTCTTAACACATATGCTATCTCCTCTCACTTGCCAGCCATCATCTCTGCTGTGCTTTCAACCTAAAATGACCCGCTTCCATCTTACTGCTCTCATCCAGGAAGCCCTCCTTTCCCCAGGTCTCTGTGTGTGTGTGTGTGTGTGTGTGTGAGAGAGAGAGAGAGAGAGAGAGAGAGAGATCCTTCATCCTCCTGTCAAATTGCGGGCTCCAGAAGGGACACAATGATTAACTTTAGCTCCTTCTACCCACTATACCCCCACAGACATCTAGCTAAAGAAGTCCTCCAATCAACATTTGCTGAGTTCAGTTAAATTGAACTTTTACCTTCACATTAATCAATGTCTCCTTCAACCCTTATACACTTTCAAGACCTGGAGTATAAAGTGCTTTTCCATTGAATAGCAAGAAAACCATGTCCTAGATAAAGAAGGGGGCTGACTGAAAGTCACACAAGGTTGAGACATCTAGGACGAGAACGAAGAAATCCTAGCTCCCTGCAGGCCCAATTC